CTAGGCCTTAGATTACATCTCCCAGCAAGCTGCTAATTGGAGAGGGGGATTATGGGAAAGACTATTTAAAGAGCTGTTTTCAGCAGGCCTTCTCTCTCTTCTCCTATCAGGGTGTATCAGAGCTGCCATCCAGAGACCGTGGTCTACCAAGACCCTGTGAGCCATTGCTGTCCCTGCATGGGTGAACTTGCATCACTGTGCAACATTAGAAGATCCTCTGTCCCTCGTGCTGGCAATTGGCAGCCCCCTCTGTGGGATCCAACCCAGACTGCTGTGTTCACATCCAACTGACCTACTAGATCCATCCTTCCACTGGCTGCTGTACAGACCCGGCGTCACTTCCTGTGTGTGCCGACTACCTTCAGGATTGGTAAGTGTGACTCAAGCCCAAATTCCCTCCTCAGTAACGCTCAGCACATGGACACTGCATGCAGACATATCAGGATTATGAAGGAACTCAACACTTTTCTATACCCACTACTTGATTGTTGACTGCTTAAATTACCACCCAGGATACTCCCTTGAACATTACTGAGCTCCAACGTGCCGGGGAAGACTGTGTTCCAACGTGCCGGGGAAGACTGTGTTCCAACATGCCAGCGAAGAATTTGTTCCAACATGCCGGGGAAGACTGTGTTCCAACGTGCCGGGGAAGACTGTGTTCCAACGTGCCGGGGAAGACTGTGTTCCAACATGCCAGCGAAGAATTTGTTCCAACGTGCCGGGGAAGACTGTGTTCCAACGTGCCAGTGAAGAATTTGTTCCAACGTGCCGGCGAAGACTGTGATCCAATGTGCCAGGGAAGACTGTGTTCCAACGTACCAGCAAAGAATTTGTTACAACATGCCGGCGAAGACTGTGATCCAACGTGCCGGGGAAGACTGTGATCCAATGTGAAGGGGAAGACTGTGATCCAACGTGCAGGGGAAGACTGTGTTCCAACGTGCCAGGGAAGACTGTGTTCCAACGTGCCAGGGAAGACTGTGTTCCAACGTGCAGGGAAGACTGTGTTCCAACGTGCCGGCGAAGATTGTGTTCCAACGTGCCGGCGAAGACTGTGTTCCAACGTGCCGGCGAAGATTGTGTTCAGGCCTGACACCTAGACTGCCCGTTTCCCATTATCTGCAGGGTGTGAGCTGGCCCAAGTAGAGCTTAGCCCAACACCATGGGATTAGGATTCCCTGCAGTCAAGCTCCTCTCTAGTTCTAACTGCCCTTCACACACCACCACCACCGGCGAGTCCTCTGCATACATTCAATTATTTAGTATTTACCATTCTCGGCCTATTCAGCGTTCTTGTTTGCTTTTGTTATCCTAAATTACACAATTGCTTGGTGTTCTGTCGAACCAGCCTTGGATACCGTCCCGGGGTTTGGTTGACTGACACCTTCGTATGCATTGTTTGCTTTGGTCAATCCAGAAGTTTGCCATGTTCGGCCACATTATGGTTCATTTACAGGGTTTGTCAGAACCTGGAGTGTCAGGACGGCCAGGAAGTTCTCAGGGTCAGGGCAGCACGAGAGGACAAGCAATATTCAGTGGCCCTTATGGGGGTAGCGCTACAGATATCTAAGCTGCCACCACCCACCTCAGATTTCGGGCTTGTGGGAAACTTTGCACCTGACACCTCTGGCCAGTACACTGGGCTCTCGAGCAGACCGGCACACAGGATATCAAAGACCACACACACTGCTCTGACTAGAAAACAGTGTCCACAGGCCCCCCAAGAGCACTCAGCCCCCACAGTGCTTCCCATCCTCCCACAGGTACCCCGAGAGCACTCAGCCCCCACAGGCCCCCCCGAGAGCACTCAGCCCCCACAGTGCTTCCCAACCTCCCACAGGCCCCCCGAGAGCCCCCACAATGTTTCCCAACCTCCCACAGTGCCCCCTAGCTTGCTGCAGAGCCTCCAGCTCCCCACAATGCCCCCAACTTCCAACAGTGTCCCACAGTGCACCCTGGTCTCCTACATTCTGCCCGAAAAGTATCCAACTTCCTAGGGAGACCCCCAGCTCCCCCCAAAGGCCTTATGCCCCACAGGTACCTTCTGTTCCCTCCAGGAACATCACCCGCTACAGGGGCACCAGGGTTGCTGCATTTTCCCACACCCCCTTCATAACCCCCGTTCCCCGCACTGACACCCAGCCCCCTCTACGGACCCGATACCCTACAATTGCTCCCTCCTTCCTCTAGAAATCTCACTCGCTACAGGGGCACCAAGTCTGCTGCATTTTCCCACACCCCCTTCATAACCCCCGTTCCCTGCACTGACACCCAACCCCCTCTACGGACCCCATGTCCCACGAATACTCCCTCTAGAAACCTCACTCGCTACAGGGGCACCAAGTTTGCTGCAGATTCCCCAACCCCCTCCACAGCCCCCGTTCGCTGTAGTGACACCCAGTACTCTCTAGGGACCCCATTCAGAGCCTTCCAGAGTATCGATCCATATTTGCTATTGTTTGTTTGCTCTAGACTCTTAAGTACGAGGGCTACATTGTATATTTTACTGGGGGCCAAACTCTTCAGTACGAGGGCCACATTGTATATTTTACCCCAGGGAGCCAAACTCTTCAGTACGGGGGCCACATTGTATATTTTACCCCATAGCAGGGGAGCCAAACTCTTCAGTACCAGGGCCACATTGTATATTTTACCCCAGGGGGCCAAACTCTTCAGTACGGGGGCCACATTGTATATTTTACCCCATAGTAGGGGCCCCAAACTCTTCTGTACGAGGGCCATTTTACACCATAGCAAGGAACCCAGAACTCTACAGTATGAGGGGACACGTTGTATATTTTACAAATATTTGTGGGACAAAAAAATCCAATTTATAAATGAATGAAACAAACTTTAATGAATGGAAATGTTTTATTGGACCTTCATTGTAATCAGCATGACGTGATCCAGAACACAAGAGAAAGAACTTTATTGAAACCAGGATGTAAGAAGTCACCCTCCTCCCTCTCAACAGTGCCCCCCCCCCTTACATCAGAGTCTTCAGAGTTCCCACATACATCAGTGTCCCCATCACCCTCCTCCCTCTCAACAGTGCCCCCCCTTACATCAGAGTCTTCATCAGAGTTCCCACTTACATCAGTGTCCCCATGAAAAATCCTCTTATATTAGTGTCCCCATCAGAATCAATCCTTACGCCAGTGTCCCCATCAAAAGTCCTCCCTTCTATCAATGCCCCCTCAGAGTCTCCATCACCATACCTCTTTACATCAGTGCTCTCCTCAGGGTCACCCCTTAGTCAGTATTCCCTTTAAAATAAGAGTCTCCATCAGAGTCCTCCCTATATCAGTGTTCAAATAATAGTCCACCCCTTACACAGTGCACCTATCAGAGCTCCCTTTACATAAGTATACCCCCTTACATCAGTGTCTACATCAGAGTCCTCCATTACATCAGTGTCCCCAGAGTCCTCCATTACATCAGTGCCACCATCAGTGTCCCCCTTACATTAGTGCCCCATCAGAGCTCTCTTTACATGAATATATCCCTTAAATCAGTGGCTACATCACAGTCCTTCCTTACATCAGTGTCCCCAGAGTCCTCCATTACATCAGTGTCTCCATCAGAGTCCTCCATGACATCAGTGTCCCCATCAGAGTCCTCTATGACAACAGTGCCCCCATCAGACTCCTCCATGACATCAGTGCCCCCATCAGAGTCCTCTATGACAACAGTGCCCCCATCAGAGTCCTCTATGACAACAGTGCCCCCATCAGAGTCCTCCATTACATCAGTGTCCCCATCAGAGTATGACCTCTTTTATTCTGCTTATAGCATTGCTGTAGCTCTGCAGCAGAAGGGTAGAAGCTGGGAGGCAGAGCAGGTCTGGATGGAGGAAGCTCCACCCTCCTGTGAATGCTGGTGCAAGCTTGTCACTGGTTGCTAGGACACCAGCAGCCCTAGCAGATGACACAGCACAATGGAGTAATAAAACCTGCCCTGGAGACTGCGCTTGTGGGGGAGGAAGCAGTTGCTATTGGGGGGAACACTGGAAAAGCAATGACTGTGCACATCAGCTGAGGACAAAGTAAAATTTTATTGCAGGCCTCATGGGACCAGCGGGCTGTATACTGGAGACCCCCTTCCCTATACTAACAGTCCTTGCTAGTGACACCAATCACTCTCTGACATAGACACATTCCTACATTCCTTTCTGGAGTTGCTCTGCCTGCACTCCTGGATTGTATTGCTTAGTTGCAACTTTACTTCCTACTACCTTGAAGTTACATTGTTTCCATTTAACAAAAGTATCTGTTTCCCTCTCTGCAGCGATCCTGATCTGAGCAATTAGGAGCCACTAATCAATTCCTTTCCCAAATTCTGCTTTGACTAACAAAATTCCCACAACATCTCGGATCTCTTTGTGAACAGTTCCCTACATTACAAAGACCAGCCCCGTCTTATCTGAGGGGTATCTGAAGGTGTGCTTCTTCCTGGTGTGAGATCTCTGATGTACAGCAAAATAAAGTATTCACACAGAAGACATTTCCCGCACTCAGGACTTTAACACACCACCGAGGGCTGTGTGGGATTTCTGATGTACAGAAAGAAGGGACTTCCGAGAAAAACATTTCCCGCACTCTGGACAGGAATACGGCTTTTCACCTGTGTGCATTCTCCAATGCGTCTTCAGACTGGACTGAGCTGAAAAACATTTTCCACATTCAGTACAAGAATATGGCATCTCCCATGTGTGAAATCTTTTATGCAAGTAAAGACCGGACTTGTGTGAAAAACATTTCTCGCACTCAGGGCAGGAATATGGCTTGACCCCCGTGTGAAGTCTTTGATGTTCAGTGAAACTTGTTTTATGTAGAGGAACATTTCCCTCACTCAGGACAGGACCGTGACTTCTCCCTCGTGTGAGATCTCTGATGTTTGTAAAGACTGGAAGTCCTTGAAAAACATTTCCCGCACTCAGGACAGCAATATGGCTTTTCGCCCGTGTGAGTTCTCTGATGTCTGTAAAGATCACACTTCTGGAAAAAAAACGTTTCCCGCACTCAGAACAGGAATACGGCTTCTCCCCCGTGTGGGATTTCTGATGTAAGACCAGTGCAGATTTTTGAGTGAAAATTTTCCCGCATTCAGGGCAGGTATACGGCTTTTCTCCTGTGTGAGTTTTTTGATGTATGGAAAGATAGGACCACTGTGAAAAACATTTCCCGCACTCCAAACAAGCATATGGCTTTTCCCCTGTGTGAGATCTCTGATGCATAACAAGTTCTTGTTTCTGTGCAAAACATTTCCCGCACTCAGAGCAGGAATACGGCTTCTCCCCGTGTGAGATCTCTGATGCATGGAAAGGCGGGGCTTGCTTGAATAACACTTCCCGCACTCAGGGCAGGAATAGGGCTTCTCGCCTGTGTGCAATCTCTTATGTTTATTAAGAGTGGATTTAATTGAAAAACATTTCCCGCACTCAGGACAGAAATACGGCTTTTCTCCTGTGTGAGATCTTTTATGCTCAACAAGACGAGCATTAGAGCGGAAACACTTCCCACACTCAGGACAGGAATGTGGCTTCTCCCCTGTGTGATATTTTTTATGCTCATTAAGTTTGTATTTAAAATGGAAACACTTTCCACACTCAGGACAGGAATATGGTGTCTCACCTGAGTGAGATCTTCGATGTGTGTGAAGATCGGATATCTCCGAAAAGCACTTCCCGCACTCAGGACAGGAATATGCCTTCTTCCACCTGTGCAATCTCTGATGTCTGTAAAGACTGGATGTCTGTGAAAAACATTTCCCGCACTCAGGGCAGGAATACGGCTTCTCCCCCGTGTGAGATCTATTATGTTCATTAAGTTTAGATTTAGAATGGAAACCCTTCCCGCACTCAGTACAGGAGAACCTCTTCTCTGTTGGAAGGACGACCCGGTCCTGCGTCTGAGGTTCCTCAGGACAGGAATTCAGCTTCCCAGCCGTGTGAGTTTTCTGATGTCTGTAAAGATGGGACGTTACTGAAAAACATTTCTCGCACTCAGGGCAGGAATAAGGTTTCTCTCCTGTATGAGATCTTTCATGCACATTAAGATTGGATTTGAAACGGAAACACTTCCCGCACTCAGGACAGGAGAACCTCTTCTCTGTTGGAAGGACATCCCGCACAGTCTGAGGTTCCTCAGGATACGATGGTCCATCAACATTGTGTGGGAAACAGTGGACATTTTTGGTTGGAGGGTCTTCTCCTGGACAATATTGGGACATAGTGGGGTCTTCTCCTGGACAATATTGGGACATAGTGGGGTCTTCTCCTGGACAATGTTGGGACATAGTGGGGTCTTCTCCTGGACAATGTTGGAAGGGAGCTGGGTTTTCTCCAAGACTATACTGTGTGATGTCCTCATCCCCTACTTTCCAGTCTGGAGACAAAGTGAGACAATCCTCTGAGGTTTTCCGCATCTCCTGGCCATGGACTAAAATACAAAGACAAAGAGGATTACTAGACAGGAGCTGATTGGTTCTCCCAAACCAGGACTCTGCCCACATCAGGCAGCTTGGTCTCTGAGGAGCTTACAAGGTAAATGGTTCCTCTTGAGCTCCAGGCTCTTGTCAGACAGAGAGATCCAATGAGAACTTTATCATCTGGACCAATCAGTGAGCAGTATGGGTGGAAGAATGGATTTAGTGTTCATGACCCACCTGTGCTGATCTCTGTAGGAGTGTCCTCCTCCATAAATGTCCCCGTTATTCCATCCTCCTCCATAGACTGCTGATCATCCCTCACATACGCCTCTTCTTCTGATTTCACCTCAACTTTTATATCTATCAGATCTTCACCCTAAACCAAGAGAAGGAGAGAAAATATCATCTCTAAAAAATAATCTACAATGAGGTGAGATCATATATAAAAAAAATAGTGGAGCCGACACATCGCCTTCACGAGTCATTCCAGATGCTCCATCCCACCAACCTGATAATGTTTTGCGTAACTGTGATCTTCCTGTGTGGAATCCCAGGAATACAGAGGACGGGGACATCTCTCTGGTAGGTTCCTGGTATTAGGTGGCTCCATCATATCCTTATGTCTTTCTAAAAACTCCTCCATCACACCATACTCCTCATCCTCCTCTTTATACTCTTCTTTAACATCAATATTATCATTCCCGAGGATTCCACTCTGAATATATAATAAAACATTCAGTGTAACAAACATTCTGTGTATAAATCACAACTACCTATAATTGTCAATCATCTACCTGATGATGGTGGTGAGGGACGCTGTGAACTTCCTGTGTGGAATCCCGGGAATGCAGAGGACGGGGACATCTCTCTGGTGGGTTCCCATGACTGGATCCATCTGTAGGAAACACACACACTGACTGAATCCATTGTTTCTGTTTATCAGATGACGGGGGATCTAGGTGGATCCTCCGTACTGCTCTCTCCTTTCCAATAAAGTCTCCTCTTACCCGGTGATGTGAGGGGCGGCTGATTGTTCATCATGACGTCCTTGTAGAGGTCCTTGTGTCCTTCTAAATACTCCCACTCCTCCATGGAGAAATAGACAGTGACACCCTGACACCTTATAGGAACCTGACACACACAATGATACAGTCACCATCCAGACACATCCCTTGTCTGTTACTGGAGAATGTCCCAGAATTCCTGGCACCGCTCACCTCTCCTGTCAGCAGCTCCATAATCTTCTTGGTGACTTCTAGAATCTTCTCCATGTTGTGTCTCTCAGGGTTTAGGGAGTCACATGGAGGCACTGTGATGGTCATATGATCACCTGACTTCAGAGGAGGAAAGCTCTGTATTGAGGAACCAATAGGAATATCATGTTAGACTCCCAGATCCTCCTCACCTCTCCAGTCAGGTCTGTGTGATGTCATGTGACCTCCCAGAATCCTCCTCACCTCTCCGGTCAACAGGTAGATGATCTCCAGGGTGAGGTTTAGTATCCTCTCAGTCATGTGACTCCGGTCCTCTTCCATCCTCATTGATGTGGTCATGTGATCTATGTGGGTTCTCTGTAGACGAGTAGTAGAGGATTATAGGGAGAAGATTCCTAGTGTCCCCCGTGATTCCCAGTGGAGAAGATTCCTAGTGTCCCCCGTGATTCCCAGTGGAGAAGATTCCTAGTGTCCCCCATGATTCCCAGTGGAGAAGATTCCTAGTGTCCCCTGTGATTCCTAGTGGAGAAAATTCCTAGTGTCCCCTGTGATTCCCAATGAAGAAGAGTCCTAGTGTCCCCTGTGATTCCTCCTAGAGAAGATTCCTAGTTTCCCCCCAGTATTTCCTAGTGGAGAAAGTTCCTAGTGTCTGCCATGATTCCTAGTGAAGGTTCCTAGTGTCTCCTGTGATTCCCATTGGAGACGATTCCTAGTGTCCCCTGTGATTCCTCATAGAGAATATTCCTAGTGTCCCCGTGTTTCCTAGTGGAGAAGATTCCTAGTGTCCCCAGTGATTCCTAGTGGGGAAGATTCTTAATGCCCTCCCCTATACTTCCTAACAGAGATTCCTAGTGTATTTCCATTCTTAGTAAAGAAAATTCCTAGTGTACCCCCAGTGCTTCATCGAATCCCTGGCATTCTGAGAATATTCCTCATGACGCCAAGGCTCCTTGTGTTCTACATTCTAGGAAACTCCAGTTACCCCAAAGCCCCTTGTGATCCTGTAGCAAGATCCCACTTGATTCTAGCATCTGTAAGCATCTCCCAGTGTGACCCCCATACCCCCAGTGTCTTTCATTCTGTCCCCAGTGACTCTCAGTGTGTTCCTGCTTGCAGCCTGTATCTTACACCTGCTATGTCCGTCAAGCATTCCAGTGTCCTTGTTCCTCTGTCTCCATTGTGTACCTTTGCCAGCTTTCAGCCTCTCTGTGAACTCGTCTGCTATTCATTACCAGAACCGGCGTCTGCAGTCTCAGGGTCTCCCAGTGTATTTTTGGTGTGTTTCCTGCTCGGTGCCCCCGTGCACCTCTGCCTAGCATTTCCTGTTTATCTAAGCGCATTGCTATTCACTCCTAGGGACTATGTCCCTGTGTACTACTCCTCACAGTGATTTTATGTGTCTCCATGCACACTTTCGATCCCTGAGCCTCAGCTTTATCAGCCCTTAGTTCCCAATATCTGCCTGCTCAGATGAGTCCAAGAACCTCAATCTGGGAATTGTCTACAGCACAACCCGTCTCCACCTTCAGGAGCTCTGGGGAGGACCAGAAGGTTCCTTAGACTCTGCACCTCCACCCCTCCAGGGGCCCTCACCTTCATGGAATGGAAGAGTAGGCTGGCTTCCTATAGGTCCTTCCTGTCCCAGACTCCTCGTGTACCTCATCTGTATCCTGTGTCCCTGCTTTACCTGGGACCCGGGCACCTCAGTGTTCCTCATACATATTGTTACCTCTGTGTTCCTGTGTACTACTACTACTCCTCACAGTGATTTTCTGTGTCTCCATGCACACCCGCAAGCTGTCATCCCTGCGCCTCAGTGCTGCAATGGATTCTTATCAGTCCTCAATTCTATGTGCCTGCTCAGGTGAGTCCGAGAACCCCAACCTGGGAATTGTCTACAGCACAACCCGTCTCCACCTTCAGGAGCTCAGTTGAGTCAGAGAACCCCAACCTGGAAAACATCTGCAGCACAACCCGTCTCCACCTTCAGGAGCTCGGGTGAGTCCGAGAATCTCAACCTGGAAAACGTCTGCAGCACAACCCGTCTCCACCTTCAGGAGCTCAGGTGAGTCCGAGAACCCCAACCTGGAAAACGTCTGCAGCACCACCCATCTCCACCTTCAAGAGCTCAGGTGAGTCCAAGAACCCCAACTAGGAAAACATTTGCAGCACAACCCATCTCCACCTTCAGGAGCTCAGGTGAGTCCAAGAACCCCAACTAGGAAAACATCTGCAGCACAACCCATCTCCATCTCCACCTTCAGGAGCTCAGGTGAGTCCAAGAACCCCAACCTGGGAATCGTCTACAGCACAACCCGTCTCCACCTTCAGGAGCTCAGGTGATTCCAAGAACCCCAACCAGGAAACATCTACAGCACAACCCTGTCTCCACCTTCAGGAGCTCAGGTGAGTCCGAGAACCCCAACCAGGAAAACGTCTGCAGCACAACCCATCTCCACCTTCAAGAGCTCAGGTGAGTCCAAGAACCCCAAAAAGGAAACCATCTGCAGCACAACCCATCTCCGCCTTCAGGAGCTCAGGTGAGTCCGAGAACCACAACCTGAGAATCGTCTGCAGCACAACC